TCCATCTAGTTTCCTCAGTCCATCCTGGGAAAACCTCCAGACGTGTTCTTTCCAAGTTTATGCCTTAGCTGCAGTTTTCCCATGTACAGAAGACTAGAAGTATCTCTAATAATTTAGGACAAACATGCAGAAAACAGTACTTTGGATGTTCTAATCTGATCAAGCAGTCAGTTCATTATTTGACTAATACCATGAGAAAAATACCAGGGAAATCTCTTTTTTTTTCTGACTGAGAACATCAGGCAGAAAGTTTCAGGGGAATACAGCAGTTCACACTCAATTTTCTTGTGGGAATGTTCACGCTTTTCTGTTGTGGAAGTTCACACTGCCTTCATTCTTATCAGCTCATACAGAACTGTAATTTACATACAGAACAGCTTTTAATTATTGTTTTTTGAAAACAAACAAACAGAACCAACCAAAAACATTTTAGAAATAAATTGACCTTGAAGGCTCCTAATCAGTTTTACAGCCCTCATTACAGAAAATGTTACTGACCTACACTCTCTGTCTCCTGGAGAAATGAATCACCTCTTCTGCCCTCAGACTCCTTCTTAAAATTCTGGTTTCGCTGAAGTAAACAAACTGAGGAACAGAACAGAAAAGAACCTCCATAAATATTATTATGCAGTTGTTAGTAAGGTATTAAAAGAACAACCACTCTAAATTCTTCCACAGATTATTTCTAAATTTCTAACTCAAATATTTATTTTTATTTAGCATGTTGCAACCTTTTAAAAGATGATGTCTGCTCCAAAGTTAAACAACGAAAAATTTTTTTCCCCTACTTCAATACTACCACAGCAATAAAAGACACACACGTCTTAATGCAGAGATTAGCTATCCCTCTCCACCTTGTGACAGTTCTATGCTTTCATAAAGAGTTTTCTAGTCCCAAATTATGTCAGGTTTTTCTTTGCATGTTAGAAACTCCCATGTTCTAGGAACTGGGCTTTGCCTAGGACAACGATCCGTTTTAAGTATATCAATTATTATGTATATCAATTACACAATTTGATTTATATGAAGTATTTTGTGGAATTTGTTATAAAAAATAGTTAAGAATGACATGATAAATAGACACAAAAAAGGACTTGAGAAACTGATGGCATAGAAAGCCTATCTTTAGCCTCCAAAAATGATGATTCAACCTTTGATTTGTGTTCCCTCAGTAACAGCGTGCCAGTGCTGATGGGTTTGCTGGGAGGAACACCACTGTATGCTTCACTGCATTATATATGCTTTCCCTAAATTCCACTAAATATTGAGAAAAACTTTTTCCCAACCCAATGGGACCATTTGTTTTTCCTCAGTGTGACTACATTACTTCTTTTGAAAACCTCTTCTCTTCCCTACACTTACCCAAAATAAGAACTGAGCCGACTTAAACCAAGTTACGGTCAAACTAGAATTTTCATGAGCTTCATAAAACTACGCTTTGTCCCTATTTTTCATGTAAATGTCGAGCCACTGATACAACAGTACCAACTACTGATATTGAGTAAGGTTTAAAGGCAAAATGAGGTTTCTGTCAGTGAAAAGGAATGATAGACTGCACTACAGCCAAGCACTCTGAAGAGATTAGCATGATTGAGGAGCTTGAAACAAGGTAACATTTTAGAATAAGGAAACAATAGAAGGAGCAAGGATGTAAAGGACACCTCATGGTGTTCTCTATTAACCTAGCAATAAATAGAGTCCAAGTTAATTTTGTGAATGCCTTTAAAAATATTTGTTAGTTATATGCAGACTGACAGATTCCAATTTTGTCCTCTTTCTTTTCTTTTGGTTTTGCATGATACAGTGGAAAGTCTTATTCATAGAATGAAAATTAACTCTTTAAATAGCATTTAAGAAGAAAACCAAAGCTGTGCCACTGGTTAAATAAGACTAAGTAAGCACTGAAGTAAAGCGATGGAAGGAAAGATGCCTGCATTGACATAATGCAGTATGACAAACCAAACTCAGAAACCTAAGTTTGTTCTGAAGTAATGGTAAATGAACTAAAGCATTAAATAAAACAGAAGAAATTTCAAGTAGTTACAGTCAATATTCTTCACACAAGTTTAAGGACTTAAAAAAAAAAATTAGTGATTATAGCCAACGATTAATTGCGTGTACTTGCACAGTACGAGGTCTAGCGCGTTCTGTGCTATAAGGCTTAAAGGTTTTTCCTGGATTCTAAGCCACATAACACAAAGAATAATTACACCTTCAAGTACAAGACCATGACATGTTCTGCCAAATACTGCTAAACCCAGTTTCACTACCTTCTCTTCTTACATGAGAAAAAAATTTATATAAAAAATAGAGTGAATCAGAGAATGTTAAAATACAGCACTGCCATTAGCCCACACGCTTTCAACCCCCTTGACACTTGTGGGATTATCAAGTGGTGCCAAGAGCAGCTCAGTCAAGCGAGAAGGTGCACCTGCTCCCTGTTGGTATGTACACTATCTAGTTCAAGTATGATACTAATCCCTTGTCCTGGTCAAAATGAAGACTGTATCTTGTTTCATACACTTTAATTTCTACAATATCACTCCTCTTCTTTCTCTTTTTACCACATGAATACTTTATTAATAACAAATTTGTGGAATTTACTTTTAAGTGGCATCTAAGACATTTTTCATAGTTTGGACTTATTTCTCACTATACATAAGAATTACTATAATGATTCTTCAGATAAAGATCTGCTGATTTTATTAGATTAAAGGATAAAATGCTTTGAATTTACAAACTCTGAAATTCAGGGAATAAAGAAAAAACATTCAGATAGCTAGTGGTAACATGGCATTGAACTTCCATTTTGCCTACACTGTACAAAACCCCATTACTTCCATTCTGACAAAAACTGAAGTTCTTCCTTTAAACTATGAATTACTGTAATCATTTTACACACAGGGACATGAAAAAATTTTCACTGAAACCTTGAAAACCTTGCCTCTTACCCAATTAAGACTAGGTTAGCAACCATATTTACCAAATAGGAACGGATCTGACAGAGCGATGATAATTTCTTCAAAATTGCCATTTACTGCAAAAATATAGGATGATTTTAATAAAAGACTCAAAAATTTTATTTTTCTGTCAGTGGGAAATATATAATTATGGTTTTTGGTTTGGTTGGTTTTTTTACTGGTTCTTAAACTACATAAACTCTTAACTGTATAGAATGGAAAAGATTTTTTTGATCATGCTGAAGTTACTCTTATGGCTTATTTACTAAAGCAAGTTAAATATTTATGTAACCATTTCAGTCAAAACAAAAAGATTTGTGGTAGGATATAGCTATAGCATTTCTTTCTTTGTTTTTTTTTTACAGCAGCCTTAATTCTTAACATGTTATGGGTCTCTGATGTTTGGTATTTCAATATTTTATTGATAAAGCTATGCAGTGCTGTACAAAACATAAAATCTTTATATACTCCAAGGGCAAATTACTCCCCTTCCCACTTGGGAATAGTTTATTTTTAATGCTGTTCATTAAGTTTTTAATTCTTCATGGGTTCTAGGGCAATTTTGAATTACAACATACATATTTAATAGTAATGACATCCAGGGAAATATTTTCTGTGGTGGAGATAAATACATACACATTAATAGTAATATATTAAAAAAATAATCTAAGAGGACATACACAATATAGTTATTTGCTTACTGACCTATAACTAATTATGGTTATATAGTGTCTGCTGCACTTCTCATCAGACTACGAGCCTACCTGGATTGCCACGAACTGTCCTTCACTTGGCTTATGAGCACCACAGCCGCTGCACAGCCACCTGCCTGCTGCCTGTGCCCTCACACCAAACGGAAACCCAGCTACTGCCTCATATATAGCCCTCATAATAAATTAAGGCTCAGCAAAGGCAAAAAAACAGCCTGGGGTGAGGCTCTCGCAACGCCTTCACCCACAAATGCCTTCTCTCAAGGCTACGAGCCCACGAGAAGTCCCACCACCTCTCACCTGCCCTCACACGTAGTTCGTGAGCACTGCTGCCGCCACAAGCTCCTGTCAGCCCCACTGGCCTCACGGCAACTGGAAGCTTGCCACTCCAGGGCCAAGCTCCCGCTGCCCCGAAGCAGGCTACAAAATGGCCTGAACCTCAACCACTTCTCACTCGGCTCATGACTACCGTCGCTCTCACAGCAAATGGAAACACGGCAAACGTATCTACTGCTTCAGGATGAGAATGGGGCCACCCCTGCACCCTGGCAGGTCCCCTCCTGCAGCTCTGGGCCCCCCCTGTATGGAAGCTGATAAACTAAGCGAGCTCCCGCACTTTTTCACCCCTGAGCCGCCTTCACCCCTCACAGAAACCCAGCGCAGCCGTCCGTGCTCCGGAACAAGGCTCCAAACCTATCCCCCCGCCGCCTCGGGCCCTCCTGCAGACTCCTTCGCACCTGACCTGCCTGCAGCCCTCACAGCAAATTAAAGACTGAGGCGGGCGTCAGCACCCTGAAGGCGAGCCTCTCCCGCTCCCCGTGCCGCCAAATCCAGGCTACGAGCTCCCCTCAGCTCCAGCGAAGCCCAACTCCGAGACTCCCTCCCCCGGGGCCGCCCTCACACCGGCCGTCAGCGCCTTCCCGCTCTGAGGCGAGGCTTCTCCCCCGACCACGGTCCCGCGTCTGCCGCCACCCGCGAAAACCTCTCCGGGTGCGTGCGAAACGCTGACAAAAAGGCTGCGCAGCTGCCGGGCGCCTTTAGGACGTGACGTAGGGAAACATTTTAGGTACTTTTACGGAGAAAAGCGACGACCAAAAAAGAAACTGAAAGTGCTTGATACCTCTTGGCGCATCTTTTCTCTTTCCCCAAACCCCCTTTTTTCCTCTCCCGCTGCCCGGTAAGGAGGAGTCCCCGCGGACCGAGCGCTGCCCTGCCGGGGAAGGGGAAGGACAAGGACGAACGGACGGACGGACGGACAGACAAACCCCGCGCGGGAGCCGCCAACTAAAGCGAAACCTGTCCCCGGCGCATGACGTCTCGCCCCGGCAGTTGTTGGGGTCGGTCTCCATGGCGGCGCGGCGCCCGCCCCCGTTAAAAATCCCCGCCTCGGCGGGGCGGGGACGCTGCTGCTGACGGGAGCCAAGATGGCGGCGGCCGCCTCGGAGCTGCTGACGGGATGGTGCCTCTTCGGCCTGGCGCTGCTGGTGAGAGGCGGCTCTGCCCCGGGCGCGCACCCCTGCCCTCCCGTTCCTTTCCTTTCTCTGTGGGGCCGGCGGGATCCCCGCCTTCCCCTCCGCTAGCCGGGGCCGGCTGCTCCTTCCCCCTCGGTTCCCCTTCGCTGTTCCAGCTCTCGGTTCCCGCCTGGCGAGGCCTGTGCCTCACCGCCCCTCCGCTCCGGCAGCCAGCGCTTCCCGCAGCTCCCGGCCGGTGCCTCGGCGGCGGTGCCGGGCACGGCAGAGCCCAGGGCCGAGGGCGCGGGGCTGTCTTGCCTCCCTTGCCTTGTGTTTTAGCCCGTTTCGCGTGTGAGCGCTGCTCTTGTTGCTCTTGCCGAGGGGACAAAGGGCGCGTTGGGCGCGGTGGGTGTAACGCTGATGTGTAGGGCTCAGGTGGGAAGAGGGTCGGCGCTGCGCCGGTCATCGTTACCAAGGTGCAGGGTCTGACTTCAGCTTTCTGGCAGCCTTACTGTGCAACTGTCTTTCCCTGTGTATTTCAGGCTATTCTGATCTTCTGCTGGGTTTACGTGCGCAAGTATCAGAGTCGGCGGGAAAGCGAAGTGATTTCTACCATAACAGCTATCTTTGCGTTGGCAGTTGCTCTTATCTCATCAGCGCTCCTGCCAGTGGACATCTTTTTGGTTTCGTATATGAAAAATCCAAATGGCACGTTTAAGGTATGTACTCTTAAAAATGTTAATTGCCTCTTCAAAAGAAGCACTTGTGTTGAAAGAGGATGCTCTTAGCTTGTCTAAGTGTTTAAAACCAGTGCTAATACCTGTTCTAGTGCCGGAGTTTTTTGGAAAGCTGAGAACTAGTACTGTGAATACAACACTGAGCTCTGTGTGTTACTTTAACTGGATTTCAGTTCTCATTTCTATTATTTTTGATGTTCTACTGATTTCCAAAGTCTCATTCCTTTTATTGTGCTAAAAGGAGTGTGTATACCATCCTGAAGGTATAAATGAATCTCTTAAATGTTGCTTTTTAGTACATCATAATGGGGCATAGCAGAATGGAATTTGTTGCCATGTTGTTCAGAAACAGACTGTATTGCCCATTTGTAGTGTAAGATTATTTTGCTTGTCTTTTTTTGCCAGCATTCTCTTATTCTGGTATTGAAACATTAAGACTTACAAAGATTTATAGTGTTAATCTACCTATAATGTAGAGCCTGAGTTAATATCCATTTTTTTAAAGAGGGGAAGCTGGTAAAACCCTTGGGGTAGGGAAATACAGTAGTATCTCTTCCTCACTGATACTGCCTTAACTGAACTACTGTTTTTATAAACTTAAACTGGAGGGGGGTTGCTGTGCAAAATGAGCTCTTAATGAGATGAGTACTCACTGTAGCCTGCCCTAAGCATTACTTGAGTAAGAGTTCTTATCAATGCTTAAAGCATTGGCCTTTTTAATTTTCAAGGAGGGCTCTTGAGGGTAGTGACCCATTGTTGTTGTGAGGACACTACCATTGACAACAGGTTAAACTGGAGCATATTAATAATTTGAGTAACAGCTTAGTTTGGTGTGGAGCATACCTGGATCTATAACAAAAGATATGATCCTGAAACAAATGAGGGAGTGGGCAGAGGGTAAATGCCTGTGCACTAGATAGACTCAAAGCCTATATTCCCTTCCTGCCCTACTTCCAGAGGAAAACCTAGGTCCTGCCAGACTCTTGATAACACTTCAGAACTAGCTTGCAGCCAATGCAGGGGCTTTTGGCTGGTGCTCGTGTAAATGCAAGTCATAAGAAGCCTTTAGAATTGAGCTGTGATGTGATTTTTTTTTGTCATGTTTATCCCTCAGTGATAATACAGGATAAATTAACGTATTGTTCAATGTTACTGTTAAAAGTTTGTATCTTCAGACCTTGTTTGTTCAGAATTAGAATACATCTAGAAGATGGAAGAGACCTTTCATGTGTCACAATACTAGCAGTTCCATGAGAATAATACTGAGTATTAAGAAATATATTGAGCCTGACTAGCTAGAGAAATAAGAATGATGTAACTAGCTCCAGCTGAAAAACGCACATCTCCAGGGGACTAAGCAGAATTTCCTGTTGCAAAGGAGACCTGTTTTGTTAATGTATGCTTTCTCTGATTTGAGAAACCTGTGAGGAGAACAGAAGGCGAAATGTTTTCATGCAGTTGCTACAGTCTTGTTTAAGGAAATGTGATGAATAGAAGCAAAGTTACTGTACTTAAAATACTGTTTTTCTTGAGCTAGATTTCTTTGTTAATGGCCACATACTGTGATATGATGGGGTGGGTAGATTTGTTTAGAAACTGTACCTGAAAGCAAGCTTTCATGCTTGTGGTAAAGCTTCTGTTTCTTTAAAGTACCCTTTTGCCTATGTTTCTGAGGCTTCTTGGTCCTGCTTAGTTCCTAATGTTTGTAGGTGCTGCTGATGGCCTGTTGAAACCAAATTGCTCTGTGCTGCCTTACAGAAGAATTCTTCCTTTTAAGGCTCGGCTGAACGAGTTTCTAGCTTTGCAGCAATAACATGAGATCTTCTGATATTACTACACTTGATCCAACACAAGTGTTGAAATTGTGATACAGAAATATCAATGTGGCCATCCTGATAAAGTTGAGTGGATCTGGGTCCCTTGGAACATACAAACCTATATGTAGACACACAGCTTTATTGATTTGATAATTTCAGTTTAGGAGTAATGGCAAGTTAGGAGGTTGACAGCATCTTACTGTGAGATCTTGAGTTGTTAAACCTTTTAACAGTCTCCTGAGTAACATGTGCTTCTTTTCTGCTACTGCTTCAGAAGTAGGACAGACTGGATTGGGTTCACAATATTTCCAAGAGACCACTGCCCTTCCTCTGGAGCATTTTTTCAAACCCAGCGCCTCCAAGGCCCTCTCTCTGATGCTGTGGTCTGAAGGACTATGACTGGCAAGGATCCTTTGTTTTGGATGGCCAGAGTGAGTTAAGTCTTCACTAGATTGCTCTTAGTGAATTTTTGAGGCAGATCCAGGTAGCAGATATGGATAATACTGTCTGTAGATAAATCATTAGTTCATCAAAAAACATTCCACTGGATGATTTCAGAGCTTATGCCAAAAGAGTAGTGGCAGTTATCCAGATGCTAGGTAAACTAATTTTTTTTCTGTACATACTTTTCTCCTCTACCTCCCAACTGTAATTCCCAGTATCAGTGTTAGAGAGATGAGAAAGTCAAGGATGCTCAACTTATAAGGAAGAGGTACTATATGTGGACTTTCAGTTAATTTTTAATGCATCTGACCCTACTGTCAACCTGTAGATATTCTTGAGGTTTTTCTGTGAACAAACTAGAAAACTCGGGGAGAAGCTTGTGATACTAATAGCAGAGGTTAAATTGAAGGCATAGTCTGATGTTCCAAGGTGTCTTCCTTGACAAGGGACATGCGCTATTCCTTGGTCAGTCTGTGTTAACCTTGAGGTTTTGTCCATTTCAACAAGACTGTTCAACTTAACATACTGTTTATACATCTTCCAATTAAGATGAGTTCCTCTTTACTGTAAACAAGTAGCTTGTGGCATTTGGGACCTGTTGGTGTCTTTCACCATCTTTAGTGAGACTTATCAAATATTACCTTAAAGCATTTATTGTGAGTGAACTAAGCAATTTTGGTATTAGAAGGTTTTGCACAGTAACTGTGTAGTCCTTTAGGAAAGGAGCAGTGGTCCATGGATTTGGGTGGTCATTATTCCAATGTACAATAGAATTCATTGCAACACTGCTTTTTCTGGAGGCTGAGAACTTTGATTCATAGTGTTGTTAAGTAGGAAAGCAGGCTTTTGGTTCTAGTATTAATCAAAAGAACTTGAGTATTACCTTGTAAGTGAAGTCCTGATAATATTCACCAGCACCACTTTTATCTTGAAAGTTTTGGCTGTTCGCATTGACAGTGCTTTAGTTTGTGCAATGGACCTCAAGTATATCTAGTTGGATCTGATCTGTTTGATCTGAAAACTTGTTTGATTTATAACAAGCACTTAGGAACAGAAAACTTCGCCCTAGCTTGAAGACTTAAGATTACTGCTGGAACCCTGACCTACAAGTCTCATAAATATTTAAAACATAGTTGATGCTGTCTTGCAGCAGGAAGACTGCTTGAAACAAGGATGTTATCATCACTGTGCTGTCTTTTTTTTATTATTCTGTTGTTGATGCAGCAGAAGGGAGGGGATGAGAACTTCTCTTTTTGAAACATACGGATTCTTGCTACAATATGAAGTCAAAAGCCGGTTGCATTTCTTTCAGTCTCCTTAGACTGAACACCTCACAAACCTTGGGTCTGTCTGAGCTGTTAAAAGCCAATTGTCTCCTTAATGATTCAGGGAGTAGCATCTGTTTAATGGGAGATCTTTTCTGCAGACCATTCTATTAAGATTTTTTGCATCCTGGGGGAAACTCATTATGTAGCTGCTCAGAATACAGAACCACTAGACATGTCAGGTTTTTTATTCTACAAAGGTGTTGGCTGAGAAATCATTATCAACTGAGACCATGCTTCCTGTCCTCAGTAGGAATTACTACTTGTGAAGTAACAATACTTGGCCGAAATATTAATGGTAGCCAGATGTGGCCGAGATGTATGTTTCTGGATGTTACTCTCCATCTGGCAGTCAAAATCCTGGTTGTGTCCCATTTTGGAAGTGGCAAGCTGGAAGATCTGAGACCTGGTTATGAAATTTCTTTATATCTAACCATGCTATGACCCTTTTTCCAGTCTTTGGTATTGTATCTTCATTTTATTAGGTAAGCTTTGGGAGAGGTTAATCTGCAGAATGATGGCTTCATTTACATTTGATGAAACATCACAGGTACTGAAATCTGGAATGTTACACCACTTTAAGCTTTATTAAGGTACATTTGCGGAGAATGGGAGCTCTCTTCAGTGGATACTCAAGACATTCTTGCAGGGTCCAGCAGTGACAGAAATGTCCCCTTTAACAGGTACAAAAGAATGAAATTCATGGCCATTCCCTCACCAAAAAGTGGGGAAGGTCAAAAATGTCAGATTAGCTTGTATTGCTTTTGTTTGGGAAAGTTATCTGCACAGTTTGAATAGTACTGTTCTGTTGAAAATATGTTAACAGAAGTCACTAACCGGACACAGTTGCTGGGAGGAGGAAGACTCTGCTCAATGATTACTGGGGGAAGCAAGTGTTCTTCATAATTAATTTTCTATGAATGTAATTATTAATCTTTTGAGGGAGTTTTGCTTTGGCTTTAGCATTTAGGTGAACTGAAAGTGTCTTAAACTGCCTTTTTTATATCCTTATTTACATAGCAACATTTTACTAATAAATTTATTTTTTACGCTTCTAGGTGTGTTTAAATTTCCTGAATCCTTCAACATGGCTTGTGTTCAGGAATACCTAAGAATAATAGCTTAATGCAGGCCATCATAGTTGTTGCATGTATCCTAGCAATTTGTTGATTCCCTTACCTGTCAATACAAGCATTGTTACAGGTTTTTTAAAGGTGATATGATGTATGATTGCTAAACTGCATGGAACAGAATGAAGTACAGCAGAACGGTGTAGATGTTAACAGAATTTGTGGTCACGCTTTCACGTTTTAAACTGCTGTTGAAGGCAGCAATGAATTCGCACCTTCCTAATCTATTGTGCTTCTAATGTGTTTGCTGTATATATTGTAAGCTTGGGCCATAGTGGGTGGAGAAGAAGACAGACTAAATCTAGAGGCTGTCCAGATGAGTTCTCAACTGACTCCTGGATGTCCAGTAAATTCATATACCTATCAACTTGATATATCAGCACTGCTGTTGAGGTAGCAGTGCTTCTCACTTTTGACAAGACAGTGCTGCTGTCACTAGCTTTTGAAACGGGTCAGATGAACTGGTTATTGCTTTTGAGTTGCTGATGACACATGCATATGGATAATTTGCCAGTAAGAATAGGGATTTTTACCTCCTTCGGTTGTGTGAATGTGGGGCTTCCGCAGCTGACAGAAAGCTGGCATAATAGATATGGCATACTATTAAATTGGCTTGCATTACAGATTCTTCGTGTGCAGAGTACTGTGAAGTTTGTAAGTTCAGGCACATGTACGCAATGTTGAAATGCACACATCTTTGTCTTTACATCTTTTCATGTAAGATGATATCTCAATATTTTAATATGCTGTAATGTAAGTTTCCTAGTATATTACTCTGGTCCTGTGCACAACTTAATTTGAGCAAAAAAATGAAAAGCAATTACAGTGTTTTTAAGTTCTACATCTGTATCCTGTTATAAATCATATGTTATTAATGCTTTTCTGGAGTTGTAGGAGAAGCAGGTTTTTGGCAGTTCAGCCCTGTTGTATTTCAATTACTAGCTCTTCCTGTGAAGTGCTGTGTCACTTAAACTTCAAGTCATACTGTTGCTTTTCTTGCTCATTTTTGGTTGGTGTGGGCTTTGAATGTCTCTGTTGCTCATAGGAGAGACCTTTTTCAAATACTTACTTGGAAGTAAATAGTGCCACCTGTTCAGTTCAGTCTTGCTTTTCCCTTAGGCATAATTAAAGCAATGCATATCCTTAATTTTTAACACTAGGCAATTTAAACCCTTTAATATTCTGTGTATGTATTCTTATTATGATCTAATTCTTTTGTGGTGTATTTTCATTCAAATGCCTAGAAATTTTTCAGTTGAAATGCTGTTGGGCTTGAGCCTGACAGTCTTCAAAGATTAGGCTTACTGTGTACCTGACAGATACTTAACTTAAGGTGTTTCTTCTGTCCCTTTTGCTAAAATATTTTTCGTCCTTTCTTTTTGCTGATTAGATGACAAAATGCTTGTATACTTTTCTACTCAAATTCCAGTTGGATGATAATCTAATTTATTTCGGACAGTGAACTTTAAAAAGTGGACTACTGGAAGTCTTAATATATTAACAGGAAGGAAGGTGGTGCTCATTTTTCTGAGATAATAGAAAAATGAAGAGTTTATTTTATGTCATCAAGCCCATATTCCATGACAGTTTAGGCAGTTCTGAGAGAACTGGTAAAGCAAGTGTTGAAGTTCTTTAAGTCTTATCATGTGCAGTCTTTAAGGAGTATGCTCACTTGCAGTTTTCCCATGCTTTGTATTAGTGCATGCATCTTCACAACAACTGAAAGGGCTTGAGCTTACTAGTTTGAAAAGAGCCTACACATAGAAATTAAAAGGAGCTTTGACAGTACTGGATCTTTTCTTTTCTCACCAATTCAGTTATGTTGCTGTGTCTCCAAAATCGCTAGCTTTTGAAGAATTTTGCTTCCAGAAAACTTTCTTGATCTTGACTACATGTAAATTAGATCCCACAAGACTTGAATGATTCTGGAATATGTTTAAGCTGTACAGGCAGGCTTGTACCTCTGGATTCAGTCCCTGAGTTTGGCTGGCAAAGATGATGTTACAAAATGTTTAGCTTTCTTAAACCAATAGTTCTTCCTGAGGAGAAGAAAAAAGGGATGGGGGCAAGAACTGGACTTAAGCCTTCCGGCTGGGTGCAGTTACCAATGTAGCTAGAGCTGTATTTTCACTTCCAGCCTCTGAATGGTTCCCCAGACTATGTAATGCAGTTCTGAAAAAGATCAACTTCTGCTCTTGTTCAAATAAGGGATATCAATGCTGTTACATTTGGGGAGTTGTATGATCTAAATCCTAACATGTATGGATGGGTGTCCCACAGTTCTGTGGTAAGATTTGAGATATATTACTCTACAAATTTCGATTAAGAATTATGGCATCTTGATCAGCATGTGGCTTTTTGGATAGGAACCTCAGGAAACCAGTCTGCCCTTTGGTGTTATGTAAAGAGCTTCAGTGCTTAGGCCAGAAACTCAAGACTGGCATACAGTTAGTGTCTAAGCTCTGCTACTCTGCATAGTATCAAGTAATCCTATAACTTTTTTCTAATACCTGATTTAGGGTACTGTTTTCTGAAGCTAATTTGAATATTCTTGTAATTCAAGTTGTGGTCAAACTAAAAAGTAAAGGATCATACTTCTGAAAAAGGAGGTGATGGCTTAAACTGGGTGGATAACTAATAAAAGTGTGTAAGCTGCAACTGAGCATAATAAAAAGCTATTTGCCACTCTTACGTACTGTTGCATCTGTGTATATAAATTTTAGTCATAGCTATTCTGTGATAGAAAAGCTGTGTGCATTGTGTGCACTGTGTACTGTGTCCAGCTCTGTGGCCCACAGTGCAAGGAAGACATAGAGCTGTTAGAACAGGGCTACAAGAATGGTCAGAGGGCTGGAGCACCTCTCCTGTGCAGAAAGGCAGAGAGAGTTGGGGTTCTTCAGCCTGGAGCAGAGAAGGCTCCAGGGAGACCTTATAGCAGCCTGTCAATGTACAAAGAGGGCTTATAATAGAGATGGAGAAACACTTTTGGTCAGGGCCTGTGACGACAGGACAAGGGGCAACAGTTTTAAACTGGAAGAGGGTAGATTTAGGTTGGACATAAAGAAGAAATTTCCTTATGGTGAGGGTGGTGAGGCACTAGAACAGGTTGCGCAGAGGTGTTGTGGATGCCCCATCCCTGGAGGTGTTCAAGGCCAGGTTGGATGGGGCTTTGAGCAACCTGGTCTAATGAAAGATGTCCCTGTCCATGGCAGGAGGGTTGGAACTAGATGATCTTTGAAGGTCCCTTCCAACCCAAACCATTCTATGATGATATTAAGAGATCTGTTACCAAGATACTGTGGGAATTGGCACAACACACTTGAGAGTTGGCAAAACTACTCTTTTATGTTCTTTCTGGTCTATAAAATCTTTCCTTTGTGAAACTGTCCTGTGCTTATTCCTGTATGCCCAGTCATTTGCACCTTTGCTAGCACTCTGCAGCTAGTAATTTTTTTGTAAGTAGTACTTTTTATATCTCTCTATGTATTTGTGTTTTTTAATTAGTGATTCTCTTGTAGTGTTGCCAAATATAGTAGTAACTGTAGGAAGTGAAGTGCTGTAGAGATTCTCGAAGAATATGGGTGTTTATGTACTAGTCATAGCTAGATCTAGATGCTTGAAAAATAGATGTTTGATACTTTAGAAAGGGCCATCTGTACAGAATTAATTTTTCTTCCTAATTCAAAGTCCTGACAAAGCAAACTCTGCTTATGAAATTTGACTCTGCCCTTTCTATTGAGTTACATCTAGAAACATTTTTATCTTGATTATCTGACTTTTCTTTCTAGAAGGTGTTCCCAAACTCTAGTTTGTGGTGCCATTTCTGTGACTGAAATTCAGTAATGTGGATATCGGCCTCAACTGGGATTTTGGGGCTGCTCTTTAGTAATTCCCAGTGTCAACCTTGCTGATAAAAAAAACTAGAGCTTTTTTGATTGAGAGATATTGACTTCAGTTGACTTGATTGGGTCCCTCCATTAATGCTTTGCACATGCATATTTTCTGAGGAGTTGCGAAGCAGATTTAAATGTGTTGATTATAAAATTAAATCCAATGCATCCAACTACAGGGCTGGGCAACTTGTACAGCTTAGTTGTCTGTGTAGTCAAACAAACAACATTTTCATAAAAATAGGTATTTGGAGTGCCACTTAAATACTAAGTACAGAACAAAATTAAGTTGTTAGCTGCTAAAAATGATAGTCACTAATAATTTTGGTTCAGTTGTGCACTGACAATATAATGTATGATAACTAAAGATTCTTAATCTGAAAAAAGAACTTTGAGGCTAACAGCCAAAGTGAGTATAAGCAGCAGGGATACTACTGTAGTGTCTGTCCCCTGAAATGCAGCACATTTCTTAATTGTCTTTGTTAGGTGAATTAGCTCTAACTTAAATTCCAACGCTTCAGGGGCAAACTGGGTGCTTAATGCTTTTCTTTAGGCACTTGATGAGAGCAGTTTTTTCAGTTCTATAAGAATGCTATTGAATGAAGTGTTCTTTTGTTTCATTTGATGTTAAATGCTTATATTTTTTATTACTAGGACTGGGCTGATGCTAATGTTTCAAGACAAATTGAAGATACTGTACTTTATGGATACTACAGTAAGTATTTTTAACTTCTAAATTTTTTTCAATTAATAGGACCTTTAAGTGAAGGCATGAAGTTTTTAAGAGTCATACTGGATTGTCCATTTTTGTTTGAACGTTAGTCTTACATTTAGTGCCCTTCAGTGAGTTTTTTTATGTTCAAGAACCCCCTAAAAATGCAAATACACTGAAGGCCAATCCATGAAAAGGCTAATGGCTTCTGCCATATAATCTACTGTTAACCTGTTCCCTGTGTGTTTATTTAGAGATCCATTAATGGAAACACCTGGTTTTGCTGTAATTTTTATGGCACTTAACACATGCAACAGTGTGAAACTTGCCTACTGTGTATAAAGTGTATGCAACTGGGAGTGTAACACTTGTTTTAAGTGTTCAGATTCAGCAACTATCATATTCAAAGTAAGAGCTACTGTAAAGGAGCATAAAGGAGTTGATTCAAGAGTGGCATGCCTAAACAAAACTGAAGCAAAAAATTAATTGAAATCAAATCTAATAAATAACTGTTCATCAAACCTAAACCTATGTGTAGTTTTAGATCCGTTTTAGTTGTCCTTATGGAAAGTTCTATGGCTAATGCATGTGTGCGAGAGGTAGCTATAGAAGAGTGATGCTTATCACAGTTTGAGTGAAATGCCTGCCACAGTCAGTGATACGAACTCAGAGGTAGTTGCCTGCTTTTGGTCATATGTCCTAAGACTTGAAGGTTTTTTCTCTTGGAAGACTATGGATTGGTTCTTTTGAACATGTTTTTTTAGATCAGGAAATAATTGGTTCTAAATAATAGACTCTTTTTTTTTTTTAAGTTACAGAACGCTTATTGCCTGCCAGTGATAGTGACAGAAACTAGAATGTGCAGTTTCATGCTAAGTGAAGCCTAAAGCCAAAAGTAGTAAGAAACTTCTGTTTTAAAAAAAACCTATTGTCTGGAAAGTTCCATCTTCCACAGAGATTCTTCACTATAGAATAGTGGAATTGCTTTGTATTTGCTTTCTATTCTTGTTCGGTTGCTAACTAAGGTCTTGTTTAACAGCCCAAGCATTTCACAACTCTTAATGTGGAATGGTCTTCAGACTCTTCTGAGGACCACTTCATAGATTTGTGAGACTGGATGTATTTCCATAAAAAGTTTTGGGCTAACTGAGTCTAATTTTTAAAGCAAGATGTCCCCTGGTAAATCCTGAACTAATTTTTGGAATAGATTTGAGCCTAAACCTGAAAAACTGCTTTTGTTTTTAGCCTATCTGGACAGGTCTACATGAAATACTGTAGGACTAATGTTTTATTTCATAGCATATCCTCCAGATGGTGGTAGATTTAAAGATGGTTTTAGAAGTATTTTTCTTACGTGATCTTAATTTGAGGAATAAATGCAAATTTTTATAACTAGAGCTACATTGAACTGAACAATAATAGGTAACTTATTTTTTAGAAGTCTCTATCATTCCTATATAAAACCCACAACTTAATGCCTCTCTCTGCATGAGCAGAACTGAAATCTCCTTTTGTACTTAAGGACATGAATACCAGTACTTTCTTATCTCTTCTGAAAAATGCAGTGATAACTATATAATCTTACTTGTCTGCTGTAGCTCTATTGGCAACTTATAGTATGAATAATTGGTGCACTTAAGTCGCTGTCCTTCAATCCAAGTCACTTCTAATTGTAGCAAGAATTTCAAAGATGTGGTTTAACTGGTGTTTCAGAATATTAAGGATTATTTTACTACCTGTATTGCAATTTACTGAGAAAGCTGTCACTAAATGTAGAAAAGCTTTTTTTTTTCCTTACAAAGTCATTAGTCCCCATGAGCAATGTTCTGTGTCTCATACCCAGCTGGTTTCTTGGCTAGACTGATAAAAAAGTAGGATGGCTTTGTACTGGTAGAATGATAAATGAGGTAACTTTCAGAATGAAGCTTGAAATAATTGTATTTTGAAGTGGGACTTCAATAGCCTAAAAGCTTTACTTGGGAAACCAGTCTACTGATTGCTTTGAAGCCATAGTGGCTTAGTGTGTTAATTCTCATAAAACCAACTGTAGTAGAATGTGTCTGCCAGTACTTGAGTGATTGAAGAATGATCAGCAGTTGGCAGATGCTCTAAAACAGCATGTCAGCTTGTGTTTGGAAGGAAAGCCCTTTTCAGAAAGGGTTATAGTTGGAAACTGTCCAAAGGCAGTTTCCTCTGTACCACAGAGAATCAGGCTGAAACAATTGACAGTAGCCTGGAACTGTGTTCTGTAGCTCTTTCCCTAGTAAGTAAATCCTACCTGTTGGAGTCAGCTTGATGTTCAGTGTCCTGTGGTAAAGTTTTGCGAATGGTGCAAGGATGCCATCAGTAGATCCCAGTCTTTCTCTGAGGTATACTGAGGTCTCTTGACCTGCATATGTTAAGTGTCTCCCAAGTATAGTGTGGCAAGGACTGTCTGCTAAATTCTATGGGGATCTCTTAGGGTGTGCTTTAAAGTCTGTGCTAAACTCCTGATTTCCCATTTCTTTTTTCTTAAATAGAAGTATTTTCTTAAGTCAGCAATAGTTATTGTATGGTGGTTCCTAGGTTATAAAAGTTCTTGAGTAAGAATTTATCCAATTGGTGTAACTTGGATGATTTTTGCGTGGAGTTTTGTCTGCTTATTAAGTGTTTGATACTGAGTCATTGACAGAAAGACTTGGGTTTCTAGAAATCAGGTGCAAGTCAAATGTGGCTACATGTTTTCAGTGTCTGCCCTTATAAGACATGCTAAATACTGTGGAAGACGTGCATAGCTGTACTTGACAAATACTGTGGAGTTACCTCTATAGAAACACTCTCCTACTAAGTGTGACTGTTTTGGTGTTTTTTGAGCTGTGGTGTACCAGAACATAAATTGAAAGTCTGTTATAGTATTGACAGTTACTGTGGTGAATTGCTTTAACTGTCCTGCTTCAAACAAGTGTCTTCTGATGACTTGAAATTCACTACTGTTCTATATACCTTACCTTTCACTGGGGAAAACAAGATGTCTGGTTTTGCAGTCTTGATAAAAAATTGTTTTAAGAAATTTTTAGATGTGAGAATAATGTATTTGGGAAGAAACACTCATCTAAAGTTTTCTGAAGTAGCTTGTGTCTCCTCAGCAGGAGAATTGAGGGAGTATATAACAAAGCATTGTTTTAAACAGCTTAGTAGCCTTGATGTTATGCAAGGCACCAGTGTATGATAGCATCTGGAAGAGCAGAAGTTTTGTGTGATGGAAGAGACTAATGATCATATAAGATTCTTGAGCCTCCTGTAGTCTCTCAAGGGGATTTGAGGGACTGTATTGATCTTGGATGCTCTGCTTGAAATCTTCCCAGTTCTTGAAGATATTTTGGTTCCTTCTACCTACTGCATTTTGCTGTTCTTTATTGTTCCTAGTGTTGTTCCTAGTTGCCCTTGCGTACTACTAGGAGAAAAAAAAAAACAAGTCAAAACATACTGGAGGGACCATTGCTATAATTTACTTGAGGACTGCTACCAGGTAGAACTTTCTCATAGTTAAGGTGCCTTTGTATTGGTACGGTGCAAACCAGCAGAAAATGAGTCATTTTGACTTGAGATAAGAATTGTTCTGAGAAACATCTTTAAAACAAACCTTACCAAGGAATTCTTGCTGAAGATTGCTTAGACTCTGTGGCAGGAACCATTGTTGTACTGGCTATACAGTGAAGCACTTTCCAGTGGTAGTGCTTCAAGCTTCTGAATCAACTGAGAAAAATGTTTTGAAACAAAAGTTGTACTTTTGAACCAGAGAAAAGAGCAGTCCCTGATTTAAAACTAAAGTCTATAGAATTGCAATAATGAAAGCTGAGACAGTCTGTCATGTCACAAGGGAGTTAGGGGGAAGGGAATATCTTTGTCACCTGGTTGACTGGCTGTTTACTGCTTCAAGACCTTTGAGTTTGAAGGTTAGCTTTCCAGGGAATAAACAGCCTTTTTAATGGGCAGAACAGGCAATTAGATGCTTGTCTTTGGGTAACTAACTTGCGTGAGCTGATGAAAGGTGCTGCTCTTCCTTTTTCCTAAGTTCTGAAAAATAAAATTCAAAAACCAGATGATCAGTTTCCTGTCTTGTTGATAGGAACTTTGTCAAATCTTTTAAAGTTTCCTTTGTAGTATAATAGGAAGAACAGTGTTTTACTACGTTAACTATGTGAGCTATAAATTTAATTTTCAATTCTAACTAAAAAAATTCTACCAGGCAGTTTTAAGACTTCACCTGATGGACGAACAAAAAGGTCTGTCTTGGAATCATTTTACTTGGAAAAAGCAAATGCAAAGCTGCTTTTAAGTTTGTTTGGGTCGTGTCCGTATGGCCCCCCCTGCCCCACCTCGTATTACAGACCTATAAAATTACTATGGTAACAAGGTTTTTCAATAGAGCAAATAGCAGACCTGTTGCAGCAGTAAGTGTAAGTTGGAGTTTATGCTACTACATGTAAATAAAGTTACCCTCAAGTAGTAATATTGAATTTTCTCTTGAAATTCATTGGAAGCCTGTAACTTCTAGAGAGCACATTTAGGGTGAACTTAAGGACTTAACTGCCAGCAGAGCATTTGTGATGGGTGGAATATTCTAGAATGAGTCTCATGCTGAATCTTGTTGTGTGCGCAGATCCTGTCTCAGAGTTGATACAGAGCTATTAGAGCTTAAGGTTTTTCATACAAAACATCTGTTACAAGTCAGCATTGGCTGAGAAGGTCAGTTCTTTTAGTAAAGCATAAATTTGAAGGAATTGTGACTATTTAATGGCTTCAAATAATGGTTGTGGGACAGAAAACTGCAGCTGAAGTTGATTGTTCCTCATTTTAGTTGTAGGTGACTACCTGGCAGGCTTGCAAACTGCCTGAAGGTATTGGTCTGTACTTGGGGATTTCCCAAGGTCTTCAGTGAAGAACCCCCAAGGAGAACTGTTATAGCTCTACAGGTCTGCTGACTTCTACAACTGAGTTGGTAGAAACAAAGCTTTAGGTGC